ACAAGTCACACCAACCTTCAAAAAGGGACTTCAGGATCAGAGCGTTCCAAAAGGATCAAAACTTGTGCTTGAGGTGGGTTCAATTAAAAAAAAAAATTACCGGTTAAGTACTGGCTCAAACCGAGCATAAACGTTGCGATTCAGTCTACTTTGAAAAAAATGCCAAACCGTCAGTGCAGAGAGAAATTTCGTGTCAGCCTGAAGTTGACAGATTTGGATGTACGCTGATTAGCACTCACCTTTCAGATCGAGGTTGAAGGCAAACCAAAAGAAGTAAAATGGTTAAAGGCTGGCTCACCAGTAGATGCAAAAGTTGCAAAAGCAAACGATCTTGGCGATGGCAAGTATCAGTTAGTAATCGACGATATCAATGAAAATGATATTGGTGAATATGCGGTGCAGGTTTCCAACGATGCTGGAGTAGCAGAATCAGTGGCCAACATCTCTTTGGAAGCTGGTTTGTAACTGAAGTTTTTGATAAGAAAGTGTACTAATTGGATGCCATGTGGACAATACATGTTAATTTAATACTCGAAAAAATTTAAGTTTTTGTGCAACGATCATAGAGGGGATGCAAAAATCTGCGCTGATCATAACTAATTATATTTGGCACAAATTGTAGCGTATTTGCTTTTAATTACTCGATTGTAGATGATGAAGTACGAGTAATTACAAATATTCAAAGTTACAAATTATCCGGATTTTTTCAGCTCTAGAAGTACTAAAACTGAAGAAGGGCCTGGAAGATAAAGAGGTGCAAATCGGAACGAAGCTTCGCCTGTACGTTGAAGCAGAAGGACAACCAAAAGTTGTGAAATGGTTCCATGGAAAAGACGAAATTAAATCCAACAGGTGAGTATTATTATTTTCAGAAAACTTACTATTTTTTGTTGCTTCCGAACTGTTTCTAAGCAATCTTGGGAAATGGAAACAACGAAATTACGAAATTTATTAGTGGCCGTTTCTGTTTGCAAAAAGGAACATTTCCCAAATCATATGGACCTCTTGGGGTGAGGTTTGAGTTGGTAACGATTTCTCAAAAGATCGTGAGGGTTTAACCTTTGCTCTTAACTGGATGTGCATTGTGCCATCTCCGCCACTAGAGTATATCCTTATAACCAGATTGACGGCCACCTTTTACTCGCGGGCCATAACAATGCCTAATGTTGGTCAATGAAAGGAATCCTCGTTTCGTCCCAGCAGATTCTGCTTTCTGACATGAGCTCGAGAAATTTTGATATCTTAAAACTCGAATTTCAGGCGAGTCAAAATTGAACAGGCTGCTCAGGAATACAGTCTGGAAGTTGAAGAAGCGGAAAAATCTGATGAAGGCCCATATCGTGTGGTGCTATCCACCGAAACCGAAACTATTGAGTCATCTTGTACGGTAACTGTTACGGAAGGACAAGTCACACCAACCTTCAAAAAGGGACTTCAGGATCAGAGCGTTCCAAAAGGATCA